CCTGTGTGGCAGGTTTTTCTCCTGTGTGGCTACTTTGATGTGTATAAAGGTGGCTCTTCCGACTGAAGCTCTTTCCACACTCCAGGCATTTATGTGGTTTTTCTCCTGAGTGGATCCTTTGATGTATATAAAGGTTCCCCCTCTGACTGAAGCTCTTTCCACACTCCAGACATTTATGAGGTTTTATTCCACTGTGGCTCCTTTGATGTGTATACAGGTAGCTCCTCCAACTGAAGCTCTTTCCACACTCCAAACATTTATGAGGTTTTTCCCCTGTGTGGCTACTTTGATGTGTATAAAGGAGGCTCCTCCGACTGAAGCTCTTTCCACACTCCAAACATTTATGAGGTTTTTCTCCTGTGTGGCTACTTTGATGTGTATAAAGGAGGCTCTTCCGACTGAAGCTCTTTCCACACTCCAGGCATTTATGATGTTGTTCTTCTGTATGGACTCTTAGGTGTCTTTGAAGATGTCCATTTCTCTTGAAGGATTTCTCACATTCCGAGCATTGATATTTCCTTTCTTCCTCCTGGATTCTTTGGGGATTCCGGGGTCTTCCGAAGGACCCTCCGCCCTCCAGGACCGTCTCGGGGCCTGCGGCTGTTTCCTCCTCCCCGAATCGCCCCCCAGGCAGCCGCCTTTCCTGTGGTACCCCTGGGCTCATCCCTCCTGTAGCCCAGGATCCTTCCGGCCTTTCCCCGCCATCTCCCTGGGAAGCCGCGTTAGGACAGGGCAGGGCAGCTCCGCGGGGTCCGCTCTTCTCATCCCGGACGGCGCTTCTTTCCTTCCCCCGCCGGGCTCCTCCGTCCTCCTGCATGGGAGAGAGGCAGGTCACGGCTGCGTCCCTTTCCCCGCAGGGGAGGGCCAGGCCTCCGCCTCCCACGGTCCTCCCTGTCAGCGACTCCCCCCGCCAAACCAAGCCACGGGCGCCGCGGCCTCCCCTCCTTCACAGGCCTCCTTTCTTCGGAGGACCCTCCAAAACTTCAAGTCCCGGCGTCCCCTGCGCCCTACCAGCATCAGGCCGCATGCGCACCCGAAGCGAAAAACTCTTTCCGTCGCTTCCCGGATTCCGGAAGTGAGGGCCAGACCGTCCTCCGTCGCGTTTTCAGAGAAGCTCCGCCAGGAAAACAAAAGCCCTTTTCCTGCCAGGATGCGTTATTTGCATCGGGGAAACTTCTACGCCATCCCATTGTCGGGCGGGCGCGGGAGCACGCCCCCCGCTCGACTTTATGGCTGCTTCCTTCCTGGTTTTCATCCCGTCTGGGTTCCTCCTCTCGCTTGGCTCCTCCCTTGTACCGCCGCCCCCACCACTGTGCCCGGCTAGGCGAAATTGGGACCGGAGGGGATTGGGGGATTCCCAAAGGTTTCTGCAATGGACGGGAACGGACGGGGTTTCCCTCGCCGGCCTCGGCTTTCCTGTGCCGGAACCTTTTCTGCCTCCACGGAGCTGCTCCCTTCCCGCCCCATTAAGCCTGCAGCAGCCCCGTGGGCATCTCTGGGTGGCCCCCTTTTCTCCTGGGGGAGAAGGGGGGTTGCAGCTGGGTCTCCCCCACCAGCACCCCAATCCAGGTGCTACTGGCCGCCTGGCACAAAGACCCTCCTCCTCTCCCCGCTGGAAGGAAGGGCGGTTGCGGTCGCGATGGCTGTTGCCAGCCTGAAGGAAGCCTTGAATGTNTAAAAATTTTTAACATTTTCTAATGGTGGTGTGCCTCGTGATTTTTTTCATGAAAAAAGTGTGCCTTTGCACAAAAAAGGTTGAAAAACACTGATCTAGAGCTACATTAATGAGTGGAGTTTCCATTGACAAGAGGCAGTCTACATACAAAAAACTGCCTTTTGTGAGAAAAGGGCAACTTTAGTGGTTGGTTTGGTCACTCCTGCAGACATTTGCTTGACATTGGTGAACTTGTAAAAGGTGGAGCAGGTGACCTTTGGTAGGATGCCAATAAAGGCATTATCTCTTAGGGAATTCTGAGGCTTTATGACCTCATCCATGCAGGCTAAACTGCCAGTTATCAGAGTGAAGGTGCTTTCCAAGAGGTAGGTTGGTGTCCGAAGGGCTCCTGGACTCTGGGGAAGCTTCCCCCTATTGGCAGCCAATTCATCAGAGTTGTATTCCAAGGGCAAATATGCCCATTTGGCCCCTTCTTAGGAAAGGGAAGCAGGGAGAAAAAGAGAACACCCAGCCCTTTTCTCTGTTACTTTTAATTATTCGTTGATCATTTTAAATCAAGTCTTAATCTCTAAACTCAGGCACCAGTTTTGGTGAGGAGCTGAAAATAACTTGATTACCTGAATTTGAGAGACTGAGAGAAGCAAAGGAGCTTCCTTGTCCACCTGAAAACACAGATAATCAAGTAATAATTTGAACATGTTTATTTTTGTTTCAGTTCAACCTTTCTTGGGGGGGGGGTGTCAGCATGTGAAGACTGACTAGCACTGTCACCTATATGCTGTTTCACTCCCACCTGGATAAAGAAAAGGGAGTGGGATGGAATGTAACCATTTGGGAGGAACGGCATCCAAACATCGTTATTTCCTGTGAGAAATTACTCCCACCACAAGGACATCCCAACCAGATTTCCCAGCATGACTGGTTTCTTCCCATAACAAAATGAACAGAAGTGATTGAGGGACATAATGGACCGTGGGTGGCTTATAGGGAAAGGGGGAATGAACTATGGAAAAAGTAGGGGTACCCTTTTAACAAATAATCTCAATTTGCTGTGAAATCAGTTGAAACTGGTCCAAGGAGCAAATTTTGATTTACTGGTAAACTTTCTTCTAAACGAAACAAATTAAAATGGCAGGGAGAGAATTACTGCATGCAGCTTGTATTGATTTTAAATCAACATTTGATTTCACTTTGAGAGAAATCATTAAGAGGAACTTGGAAAATACAGTACAAAGGGTGTTTCTCATTCAGCAATTGGATGAAATGTGCTAACCATCCTTTTCAGAAAAGTCTTCCAGGGCTGTATTTTGACCTCCACCTTCTTTAAGGAGCAGTTCCACACAACAGGTCAACTGACCACCTCCTTCTTAAACCTGCCTCTATCCCTGGGCCACAACGTACCTCTCATCCTAAAGGCTGAGAATATGGCTTAGATCTCATAAAGCTTTGTCGGCCTTAAAGTGTGTAAGGATGTGCCTTGTCTCTCTACTCAAGAAACTAGTACTCTTAAAACAATTAGTATTTCAAAAGGAACCTATTGAGAAAGGGATAGCAAGACAAAGAAAGCAGGATCTGCTGATTCCCATG